TAATGACGTTTCATACCTAAACTACCACAATCTTTTTTCAAAATCTCTTTTCCTATGCAAATGTTAAAATTCCTTTGAGAATACCAAGACAATAGTGAAAATAATCATAACAAAAAAGTTACCAAAAGGGATTCTGGAAGTGTAGGTATAAAACGTCATCATGCTCGAGGCATTTTTTTCTAAATCGATATGTGCTGATAAAGGCAAACAAATAATTTCAATGATGCTTTCATGCAGCGCGCACTCTATAGCTATAAATCCATACGTGTCTAGAGGTCCATTGTTGTTATACCATGTCATAGCATTGCACTGTTAAACCTTTTAACCTTGCCAAGAATCGGGCTATCACCGTAAGACCCAAGTTGTTACAGTATGAGGCATTAACCTCATACTTCTTTGGAAAAGTGCTTTGCAAAAGCTCTAAGAATACTTTACGTTTAGTATAAAAAATGACATCATATTATTGGGCCTTAAGCTAAGAAATGCGTCCCACGTTTGACGAGTGTTTTATGAATATTGATGGTGACACGTTGGATTGCATCGTTTCACATCTTCGACGTTTTACTGTAAAACGCAGCAGTGTGGCGCTTTATTTCTTTGCGTACGTATGGCGAAGTACATTAGCTAGGACGCATGTCTCAAACTTGTCTGTGAAGCTTTTATGTAGCAACATGTGCACTTATACTTTTGAATATCACTTGTACTACGGGGAATACTAAAATATAAAAAATATCCATTTGATGTTAACAGAAAATAAGATTTAAAATTTATATCAAAATTTGCCATCTATAAGCCTTTTTTTTCGGGGGGCGCACCGTATTCTCCCGACAAGTTACCCCATACGATTACCGGGATTTGAATGCTAGAACATATATGATATCGTTTTCCATTTTAAATTCACCCAGACTATTTTAACAACATATAACGAAATCCATGAATAGTCGAGGAATGATTAAAACCAACATACATAATTTCAAACCTTTTTTACCTTGAGAACAAAGAACACTCACCTGAAGCAGTCTGGTAACAATCTTGCGTTACGCACACATTTGCTCCTATATCCGAGTCGTCATCTCCAGATCCTTGACTGTTAACAATCGCAATCGTAAGAAGAACCCCACATATCACGAGTAGCAGTTTCGGCATCATTTCTGTACGAATTTTGAAGTCCACTTCTCGGGAAAAAAAGGACAGACGTTTTGCCCCGACTTGGCCCGCTAACTTTCGACGAAGTGGTTCTCTGAGTTATCAGTTGCCAGACACTAAAACCGCGGGACATCCGCTTGCCGCTTTGAAAATCAACGGATTTAGTCTTTAATTTTAAACACGCCGAGGCAGAGAAAAATCCCCATGCAAGGAATGAGTAGCTGGGTATTCTATCTACAGGGTATTGAATTATATTGTAGGTCGGTAAAGAAGAATAAGAAGAATATATAATTATTGAATAGTTTACTTTAGGTCTGGTATGAATGGTTGTTAGAAGGCACTAGATGGAGTTTATGAGGTGGGCCGGACACGCAGGTAGACAGACTAATGCTGTAATACGAAAATAGAACATTAGTGATTTAGTGGGATAGGAATTATATTAAAAAACAAAAGMAGATCACTGAAGCAGAACTTTTTCTTTTGTCTTTAAATGTTYATTCCTTTCTCACTAAATTACTAATGTTCTAATATCATATGACAACGTTCTTGCAAGTAGGTGTATATGGTTTTCAAAATGTTCGTTTTCTTCATGTATATATATTTTTCATTTTTGCTTAGACTTTATTTTTGCTCTGTTGATTCATCCATTCTTTCATTCCTCCATCCATCCATATGCATTTTATTCACCCTTCCATATGGCCATCCATCCATCCACTTATATTATTATATGTTCCATCTATGTTCCAAAAATTTATCCATCCATGAATAAAGCCATTCATCCATTCATCCAACAATCCATTCGCTCTATCATTTATTCACTCATTGCGGTTATTCATTTATTTTTCCCTGATTGATTCAATCAAACATCATACATTCATTCATTCAATTGTTCGTCTTTAATTCCTTCCTGCCCACTTAACCACTCAATCGATTCTTCTTCCTTCCTTTCACGTACAAGCTAATTATATCAAACATTTTTAGCCCAGAAATATTTCATATTTGAACTTTGCAACCTCAGAGGGGCTCACAAATAATCGGAATACTTTGATCCCAAATTAATTCTTTTTCTTGGACGACGACATCTCCTCCGGCTTTCTATGGCAATCCCTGAGGGCCGCTGTTGGATAATCGCATTCTTACTCTCTTTTTTTTTTCTTTTTTTTTTTTTTACGGTCTGATTTTCAGCTAATCCAGGTCTCTACTTGTAAGAATTAGGCTTTATTTTTAGCTGTCTCTACGTCATTATGTTCACATATATGTGGAATAGATATCGCTGTAGGCATACAATTGTTTAACCAGATGGCGAAGCGTTCACCGGCCTTGGCTTCGGCTTGACACCAAAAAAGCTCTACGTTTCTGCAATTTGTGGCTCTCAAAAAATCGGTTGGAATTTGAGCTATCGCTCCAACAAAATAAAATTCGGTTGCTGAGTAGCCGTACTTATTGAAGATGGCGTTTGAAAAAGTCCACCTTATATCTGTCCAAAATGCAACACCTCCCGTGGCTTGCAAAGCATTCCATCCTGATGCTACTGACTTTCTTCTCCATAAAGAGACATATACCGAAATAAGGACAAAAAAACATGCAAAAAACAACAACAAAACAAAACAAATCAAGACAAGAGAAAACAAAAACAAAAATAAACAACAAAACAAATCAAGACAAAAGAAAACAAAAACAAAACAAAACAAAAACAAAAAACAAAACAAAAAAAGAAAGAAAGAAAGAAAGAAAGAAAGAGAGGAAACTTTTCTTAATAGCTCATTTTCTTTAAATGTAAATATATAAATGATGGACCACGGTAATTGGCACATGCTGTAGTGGATTCCCAGCCATTATGTGTGTAAATATTATATATAACGTGATATGTGTGTGTCTGTATGTGCGTGKGTGTTCAAATGGAAAAGCTAAATAAATATATAACTCAAAAGTCGGTGCTCTCGTAGGATCGCTGCAACGTAATATACAAATGAACACTGCTTTATTTTAAAATATCATTATTCAAAAATTATGCGGATCAAAAACATGACAAAACAAAATATATTAAGACTTAACTCGCAAGTAGCAAAACAGAAAGAGTCTTATAAAAAAATATTTTAAAATATTTTTTCAGATTCAACAATTTGTCTGCGGTCACGCACGCACGTCATGTCATGTCACGCCACGTCAYGCCCTGCCAATCCCACAGTATTACAAGAATCATTGTCAAAATCCGKTCGGACGTCTTCGATGTTTCCTGGTCAACAAAGCGCGATACAAAATCGACAGATTATTGTGTTAAAAGATAAGAATATACTTTTGTTTCGCTTTATAAAAGAGTAGGTGACGATATGGAGATTCTCAGGTAAGTTAGAACTTGATTGACCCAGTTTTTCTTCGCCCTGGTGCATCATGGTCTTGAATAGCCGCCGAGTCAAAAGCTATTCTTCGTTGAACGCCATTCTCCAATCTACTGTCCAATCAAAAGCAGCCGTTTTGGGAGAGTAAAAGACAATAGACCTGCAGGCAGACCCTAAAGAGTTATAGTCACGCTGCAGCAGACTATACTCGGTGCAAGTGCTTAATAGCAATTTTATTCTCAACATTTTATTGAAGTGCATTCTTATTCCACTCTCTTAACTTTTTCTTTTCATACACAATTAATTAAAAAGCAATTACAAAGTATTTACAAGTAAACTGRTTTTATCTTTTAAAAGTAGCTTAAAAACTTACCCAAATTATACTTTTAGTGAGTGCGTCAAACAATATAATTCCACTGTTATTGGAATGTCATATTGATTCTATAAACAAAGGGTATATAACTGTATCCATATATCTTTATATACAAGTATACATGCACGATTCTATAAATTCTCTCATTTAAGATGGCGCCCAAATTCGACCACAAACACCAAAAATGGCAAGCAAAAAATTCTCGACTTACTTTTCGTAATACGACCAATTTTGTAATTTTCCTTCACTATCTGTCTTTGAAACTATTACTAAAACAATTTTCCGCCCTTGCCATCGGATGGTACTTACTTAAGTGGATATATTTTATCTCAGAAAATACGAGGTTGAGAGAATATGTATCGACTTCACGACGCATTGCGCCACAACCAAAACCATCCATTTTACTACCTTTTTTGTTACCCAAATTGCATGTCGTTTTGAAATGCTAACCGCGTGCAAGCTYCATGCTTCATAGATATTTTTTGTAGTTTCCGATCTTGATTCCTCGTGTTTTGCATCATGTCAGATCGTTCCATATCGCATCTTTTTGTGACGACCTTTTCAATGTAAAACAAAKATTGCTGATATGCTAATTATGAATGCACAAACCGCATTCAAGTTCAAATTCCATGCTTCGTGCATATTCCAGAGATTGATCCGAAGTCCTGTTACTTTGCATGGTGCAAGATCAGCGCGGTACGCATGTTTTTCTGACTACTTTGTTTTTTAAAGATCCATGATTCATGCACATTGTAGTGTTTGATCCTTAGAACCTGATGGCCTATGCTAATTATGAATGCTGTACGAGCTGAGCAAAATCCATGCTTCATGCATTCTTCTTTGTAATTTTCGATCCTGATTCCTTTTTGATTCACCTTGCTTTGTATGGTGCCAGGCAGTACACGCATCGTCGGATATTTCTCTGTCTCTCTCACACTTACTGCCCACAAGTCGCTGAAAAACGACTGACTACTAAAAACTATGCAATCGTGTTCCAGATAAACGCCTTGCATGATACCTAGAACGGTAACATTGTTATGGAGTTTTTCTTTCCGTGTTGAAGTAGACCTATATATTATTGGCAGCTACACAACATGGATACAAGAATCGTATATAATTTCTTGCAATAAATCTTGCCTCAGTCGAAAACCACGCTACTGCCTTGCCGCTAAACATGACTCGTCAGCAGTCCAGAAAAAATAAATACCTCCAAGTGTTTGGTACCTTGTTCTRCTGAAGATCTAATGCATTTATTTTTACCACACACTGCATTTCTTTGCCGGATTCATCGGTGATCCAAGAGGACAGTTGAAGGCTCGCG